TATATAATTATTATTATAAAAAACTTTAAAATATGTATTTATATTATGATAAAAAAACCTGTGAATATTTATTTGCATATTATCCTTCCTATAATATTATTATATATGTATTATTAATTACAAAAACATCATTAAAAAGTGTTCATTCATATAAAATTATTTTTATATAAAAATTTTAAAATATGTATTTATATTATGATAAAAAAAACCTGTCAATATTTAATTGCATATTATCCTTACTATAATTTTAATATATATGTATTATTATTATTAAAAACATTATTAAAAAGTGTTCATTCATATATCATTATAATTATAAAAATATTATAAAATATGTATTTATATTATGATCAAAAACATTTATATATATTTATTTGTATATTATCCTTCCTATAATATTATTATATATGTATTATTCATAACAAAAACATTATTAAAAAGTGTTCATTCATATATAATTATAATTATAAAAAAAATTTAAACTATGTATTTATATTATGATCAAAAAAACCTGTCAATATTTATTTTTATATTATCGTTTCTATAATAATATTATATTTGTATTATTAATTACAAAAACATTACTAAAAAGTGTTCATTCATATATAATTATTATTATAAAAAACTTTAAAATATGTATTTATATTATGATAAAAAAAACCTGTGAATATTTATTTGCATTTATCCTTCCTATAATATTATTATATATGTATTATTAATTACAAAAACATCATTAAAAACTGTTCATTCATATATAATTATTTTTATATAAAAATTTTAAAATATGTATTTATAATATGATAAAAAAAAAACCTGTCAATATTTAATTGCATATTATCCTTACTATAATATTAATATATATGTATTATTATTATTAAAATCATTATTAAAAAGTGTTCATTCATATATAATTATAATTATAAAAATATTATAAAATATGTATTTATATTATGATCAAAAACATTTATATATATTTATTTGTATATTATCCTTCCTATAATATTATTATATATGTATTATTAATAACAAAAACATTATTAAAAAGTGTTCATTCATATATAATTATTATTATAAAAATATTATAAAATATGTATTTATATTATGATCAAAAACATTTATATATATTTATTTGTATATTATCCTTCCTATAATATTATTATATATGTATTATTCATAACAAAAACATTATTAAAAAGTGTTCATTCATATATAATTATAATTATAAAAAAACTTTAAACTATGTATTTATATTATGATCAAAAAAACCTGTCAATATTTATTTGCATATTATCGTTTCTATAATATTATTATATTTGTATTATTAATTACAAAAACATTACTAAAAAGTGTTCATTCATATATAATTATTATTATAAAAAAACTTTAAACTATGTATTTATATTATGATCAAAAAAACCTGTCAATATTTATTTGCATATTATCGTTTCTATAATATTATTATATTTGTATTATTAATTACAAAAACATTACTAAAAAGTGTTCATTCATATATAATTATTATTAAAAAAATATTATAAAATATGTATTTATATTATGATCAAAAACATTTATATATATTTATTTGTATATTATCCTTCCTATAATATTATTATATATGTATTATTAATAACAAAAACATCATTAAAAAGTGTTCATTCATATATAATTATTTTTATATAAAAATTTTAAAATATATATTTATATTATGATAAAAAAATCTGTCAATATTTAATTGCATATTATCCTTACTATAATATTAATATATATGTATTATTATTATTAAAAACATTATTAAAAAGTGTTCATTCATATATAATTATAATTATAAAAATATTATAAAATATGTATTTATATTATGATAAAAAAAACCTGTCAATATTTAATTGCATATTATCCTTACTATAATATTAATATATATGTATTATTATTATTAAAAACATTATTAAAAAGTGTTCATTCATATATAATTATAATTATAAAAATATTATTAAATATGTATTTATATTATGATCAAAAACATTTATATATATTTATTTGTATATTATCCTTCCTATAATATTATTATATATGTATTATTCATAACAAAAACATTATTAAAAAGTGTTCATTCATATATTATTATTATTATAAAAATATTATAAAATATGTATTTATATTATGATCAAAAAAATTTATATATATTTATTTGTATATTATCCTTCCTATAATATTATTATATATGTATTATTCATAACAAAAACATTATTAAAAAGTGTTCATTCATATATAATTATAATTATAAAAAAACTTTAAACTATGTATTTATATTATGATCAAAAAAACCTGTCAATATTTATTTGCATATTATCGTTTCTATAATATTATTATATTTGTATTATTAATTACAAAAACATTACTAAAAAGTGTTCATTCATATATAATTATTATTATAAAAAAACTTTAAACTATGTATTTATATTATGATAAAAAAAACCTGTCAATATTTATTTGCATATTATCGTTTCTATAATATTATTATATTTGTATTATTAATTACAAAAACATTACTAAAAAGTGTTCATTCATATATTATTATTATTATAAAAAACTTTAAAATATGTATTTATATTATGATAAAAAAACCTGTGAATATTTATTTGCATATTATCCTTCCTATAATATTATTATATATGTATTATTAATAACAAAAACATTATTAAAAAGTGTTCATTCATATATAATTATTATTATAAAAATATTATAAAATATGTATTTATATTATGATCAAAAACATTTATATATATTTATTTGTATATTATCCTTCCTATAATATTATTATATATGTATTATTAATAACAAAAACATTATTCAAAAGTGTTCATTCATATATAATTATTATTATAAAAATATTATAAAATATGTATTTATATTATGATCAAAAACATTTATATATATTTATTTGTATATTATCCTTCCTATAATATTATTATATATGTATTATTAATAACAAAAACATCATTAAAAAGTGTTCATTCATATATAATTATTTTTATATAAAAATTATAAAATATGTATTTATATTATGATAAAAAAAACCTGTCAATATTTAATTGCATATTATCCTTACTAGAATATTAATATATATGTATTATTGTTATTAAAAACATTATTAAAAAGTGTTCATTCATATATAATTATAATTATAAAAATATTATAAAATATGTATTTATATTATGATCAAAAACATTTTTATATATTTATTTGTATATTATCCTTCCTATAATATTACCACAAATACACAATAAGGGTTCTCACTCAAATAATATTCAATGATAAGGCTCAATTAATTAGCAAAATTAAAATTACTAACTAATATCTATGTACACAACCACTAAATAAATTAGGGTTCACAACGCACCACGCTGTAACAGAAAACAGGTTAGGCCTACCCAACCGACTATAAAATCACAGCAGGTCTGCCTAAAACTCTGCTCAACAGTTCAGGTCCGCAGCCAATCTGCACAAGTCCGCAGCAAATCTGCACAAATAAAATTATTTTGTTCGGGCGCCGTTAATACGTCAGCAACTCAGCACCACTGCCAACCATAGTCCCTGTTCGCAGGCGCCATCTTGCGACGAAATTTTCTGCACTGGAAAAAAATATATTAATTAAAAGTGCAGCAGTCGCAACCGTTTGCCGGGGATAGCTCAGCCTACAATGGCTGGGTAAAGTTCCAGGGTCTGCGATAAGGTCGGGGAAACCACTAGGCCAATAGCCGGGTCTAACCGGTATAGGACTGGCTCATACACGGGCACTGTGAACAAGTAAAAAACAAGTCACAAAACAAACGTGCAATAATCACTACCAGGCCTACGCCGATTCTCCACACTCCTAGGGGGTCGTTGCTGACTACGCAACTCGGGCTTCGTCCTAACTATCCAATAGTTAAGCCCAGAGTGCCTAAAACACAGTGAGTTACACGACGACTTGCCAATAAAAACCACAACGCGAGCTATCAAAAGGCGGGGTCTACTAGGCCACTATAATCCAATACACAACTCTAATGCCCAAGCTAAGAATCAATCAGTTCACTCAATAATCGTACCACATAATAATATACAAGTACACTATAGGTAGAGTGACTACGCCACGAATAGCTGGTCTCAATAAATACCAAGCCAGACAGGCAAAACTAAATGGCAATTGCACTATTAAAATATTGAGCTACTTAGTAGCAGATAAATAACTGTTAAATACGTTCCAAACACTAGATAAATATATTATCTGATAGCCGGTACTCCGCTATCCAAGCTACCGAGATAACGTGTTGGACTACCAAACAAGCTGTTCAGGTTAAATTAAAATAATCAAATGAATAAACAATAACAACCCTACTACTGCTACTGCCAACTTTATGTTACTTAGCTGGGCTTCTGTTAATAGGCTAATAAAACTAGCTACTAGCCTACTGGCCTCGTGCTTCCAACTACGCACGCTAAATCGTGCAGCCTAGGTTTGTCGGGCCTCAGAGTTATTAGTAATATAACTAACTCTAGGTACAACGCAAAATAATAACTACTACAGCCAATTAAATTATATTATTTCGCTCTAGGGACGAACACATTGAAGCACTCTGCCATAAGCTAAGCACCGCAATTTTTGCACTGAGAAGAACAATGGCTGTGAGCACAGAAGAGGCGGCACTAACAGCATACTATGCCCTTCTTGAGAGTATTCTCTGTTATGGCATTGTGGTGTGGGGTGGATCGTCGGCACAGAACCTTAACAGAGTTCTCATCATGCAAAAGAGGGCTGTTCGAACCCTGACTGGCATTGAGACAACAGATAGTTGCAGACCACACACAAAAAAAGAAGATGACGATTCCCTAGTCTCTACGACTACGGAGAAGAGGACCAAGGTGTAATATATGTGCCTTATAATTTGTTATAACTTGTATACTCTATGGGCTGTGCTCCCTACCTCAATTCGTAAGAATAAAGCTCTCTATGTTCAACCATCAAAATGAAAGCATCTCTTATTTCAGAGCCTTGTCTAATGTCAGTATAAGTTACATATTATAGTAAAGATGGTTTTAAGTGTCAATAATTGTTAGTGTTACTATAAAAGAAATAGTATACATTACAGATTGTGGCGACGAGGATAAAGTTTTATAGTAAAAAGAGTACTAAATTTTATCTTCAAGTTTTTCAGGTATGTTTCACGACTAGGCCTAGCTTCTATTCCAGTCAAGAAGATAAACGTACTATTATAAATTAAAAGTGACAGACTATTTTCGATTCATTTTAAATTTTAGTAACTTAATCTTTCAAGTTGATATTTTTTTCTGAAAGTTTTAAGCCTAAAAACTTGAAATATAGGCCTACAGGAACTTTCAACTTTCATGTTTGAACAAACTTTCATGTCTGAACAGACTTTCATGTTAGAACAAACTTTCATGTTCATCGATTTGCATGTTAGGCAGAACATTGCAATGGTGTTTTAGTGATGTCACTTGTAGGTAATATATCTGAATTTGATGATTCTTGTGAAGAATGGGACTTATATGTACAAAGACTGGAACAATATTTTAGAGCTAACGACATTACTGATAATGGCAAGAAGGCGAGTGTCCTACTCTCTGTTGTGGGTAGGAAGGCTTTTAGAATTTTACATGATTTATGTCAACCAGACAAGCCTGGAGACAAGAAGTACACTGATTTGGTATCAATATTAAGTAATCACCTAAATCCTAAACCTTCTGAGATAGCGGAACGCTATAAGTTTCAGCATGTTAGACAGGTAAGTGGCCAATCAATTTCAGACTATGTGGTCTCACTTCAAAGGGCCGCTAAACACTGTAATTTTTCTCAAAGAGATGTCTCCTTACGTGATCAATTTGTTGCGGGACTCCTTAGTGATGTGGTGAAGAAGAAGCTTTTCACAGAGGTTGATAGTGAAAAGTTAACTTTTAAAAAAGTTGTTGAAATCGCGTTAGGCGTGGAATCTGCTGACTTAAATACTGCTACCTTACGTCAGCCTACAAGTAATATTAACTACACTAAAAAGAGTCGCTTTAATCAAAATGGGAGGAAATCTGGGTCATTTCAATCATCTGCTACGAGTGGGTCGAAGTCTACCTATGATGGGTCTTCACAGGGACCACGGACCACACTTCAGTATTCTCAGAGCAAACATTTTGTAAATAGTAGTAATAAGTCTAATCTCTCTCACAGACATCAGTCTAAATATTGTAATTGTTGCGGTAGATCGAATCACATAACCTCAAAATGTAGGTTTAGTTCTTATTCTTGTTTTCATTGTAACACAAAGGGACATTTGTCCAATGTTTGTCCTAAAAAGAAAAACAGTAACAAAGTAAAACATCATAACCTAGAAGTTGATGATAACTTAGTAGAAGACCCAGTGGAGTTAGTTAGGCCTAATGTTGATTTAAATGACGAATCACAAACCTCTGAGTTTGAGTCCTCCGAAGGAATTTTTAACATTAATATGAGTTTCAATGAGGTAAAACCTAGTCTTTGTAAGCCATATACTATGTGTGTGACTATTGAGGGTAAAAAGTTGTCTATGGAGTTAGATACGGGTAGTCCTATATCTGCAATTTCAGATAAAGTTTATGAAAAGGAATTCAAGCATGTTCCAATTGTCAGTACTGATCTTGTGCTAAGGTCATATGATGGTAGCCTTATTAAACCAATGGGTTTTTTGAATGTAAATGTTCAGTATGATAAAACTGTCAAAAATGATTTAAGTTTGTATGTAATCTCAAATGGAGGTCCAGCTTTGCTTGGCCGAGATTGGCTAAGTAGCCTAGGTATTGGTAACCTGAACTTAAACAATGTAAAAGTTTCTCCAGAAACTAACCCAAGAGTCGAGGACATTTTCCCTGAAGTAAATGAAGTTTTCTCTGAAAAACTAGGAACATTCAATAAAGGTAAGGTTAGCTTACAGTTAAAATCTGATTCTCACCCTGTATTTTTTAAGCCAAGACCTGTGCCTTTTTCTCTTGTGAAAAAAGTTGAAAATGAGATTGATAGGCTAGTAAATTGTGGTATTCTTGAACCAGTTGAAACTAATGAGTGGGGAACGCCTATTGTGGCAATTCCAAAATCTGATTCTAGTATAAGATTGTGTGGTGATTATTCTGTAACGCTTAACCCTTGTCTAGTTGTAGATCGCTATCCTTTGCCTAAGATTAGCGAATTGTTAAATAAGTTGTCTGGAGGTAAAATATTCAGTAAGATTGATTTGAAACACGCTTATCAACAAATTTTACTTGACGATGAGTCAAAGAAACTAACAACCATTTCTACGAGTAAAGGTTTGTTCATGTACACAAGAATTCCTTTTGGAATTACTTCAGGGCCTAGCATTTTTCAAAGAATTGTAGACCAGTTGGTAATTGGTATTGAAGGAACGGTAGCGTTTCAAGACGATATTTTGATCTCTGGTAAGAACGATTCAGAACATTTAGAGAACCTCAAACAAGTTTTGACTAGACTAAATGATTGTGGTTTAACAGTACATAAGACCAAGTGTGAATTTTTTCAGACTTCAATCAAGTACTTAGGGTACATTATTGACAGTCAGGGGCTGCACACAGATCCTGATAAGGTAAATGCTATAGTGAGTGCTCCAGCACCATCAAATATTACAGAATTGAAAGCCTTTTTAGGCCTTGTTAACTTTTATGGTTGTTTTGTGCAGGACCTTGCATCAATATTGCATCCTCTGTATCAACTGTTGCGCAAAGATGTTGACTGGGTATGGTCTAAGAAATGCAATGATTCTTTTAACAAAGTCAAAGAACTCATGACTTCTGTTGATTTTTTGGCTCATTACGATCCTAATTTACCATTGAAATTATCATGTGATGCAAGCTCTTACGGCTTGGGGTGTGTTCTTTCAACAATCTTAGAGTCGGGCAAAGAACGTCCAATCGCGTTCGCGTCTAGAGTTTTGTCAAAAGCCGAGAAAGGTTATAGTCAGACGGACAAGGAAGCTTTGTCGATTGTTTTTGGGGTCAAAAAGTTTAATCAATATCTTTTTGGGCGTCATTTTTCACTTGTAACTGATCATAAACCGCTTTTGAGTATTTTTGGGAAGAAAAAGGGCATTCCCCAAATTGCCGCTAATAGGTTGCAGCGGTGGGCATATTTTCTCAGTGCTTATGATTACTCTGTTATTTTTGTAAAGTCTTCAGATCATGGTAATGCTGATGGTTTGTCCAGATTGCCGCTCGATGTAAAAGGTAATGATAATCTTGATGATTATGACTTTTTACAATTTATTCAAGAAGGATGTGTACCGTTGAGTTCTAAAAATGTAGAATGTGAAACCAAAAAAGATGAAATTCTGTCTTCTGTATTAAGGTATGTACTACATGGTTGGCCATCAAATATTGATGGTAGTGTGAAATCTTATTTTTACAAAAAAGATGAATTGAATGTAGAAGCAAATTGCCTCATGTGGGGGTACAGAGTTGTAATTCCTAGTAGTCTTAGGCCTAGCCTATTAGCTGAATTACATAAAAATCATTTAGGAATTGTAAAAATGAAAAGTATTGCCAGGTCATGTATGTGGTGGCCGGGAATAGATAAGGATATTGAGAATGTCTCAAATCTTTGTGATTACTGTAACAATTCAAGGCCTAATCCGCCTAAAACTGTTTTGCATAGTTGGAATATACCCGAGAAACCTTGGGTAAGAGTACATGCAGATTTTTTTGGTCCTATCAATAACAAAATGTATCTTTTAGTAATTGATGCTTATTCTAAGTTTTTGGAAGTCATTCAGATGAATAGTATAACAAGTTCAGCAACTATGGTTCAGTTGAGAAAAATCTTTGCTAGGTATGGTTTACCTCAAGTGTTTGTAACAGACAATGGAAGGCAATGGACTTCTGATGAGTTTTCTAAATTCATGTCAAACAATGGTGTTAAGCATTTATTTACTGCCCCATATCATCCAGCAACTAACGGTGCTGCAGAAAATGCTGTTAAGTCTCTCAAAAAGTGTTGTAAAATAGCTAAAGAATCAAATGTAGATATTGAAACTGCCATTGATAGATTTTTGTTTGATTATCGTAACAGCCAACATTGTACAACTTGTGAATCTCCATCTAAACTCATGTTTGGTCGCTCGTTGCGTACTAGGTTTGACCTGCTTAGACCTTGTAAAAATGAAAATTGGCATCGCAATGTAGAGAAACAAAAAGCAAGTTTTCATGGTAACAGGACTGTTTCTTTCAGTGAAGGTGAATTGGTGTTAGTCCGTGATTATCGTCCAGGTCGTAGGTGGAGCAAGGCTCGCATTGTTAATCCCTTGAGTCCTGTTTCCTTTGAAGTGATCATTTTAGATTGTGACACAGTTTGTAAACGACACGCTGACCAAATTTTGCCTTTGAATGTGTGTCAAGACAATGTTTATGTTGGTGGTGACAATAACGTAACGTCTGTAGAGTCAGTAACTAGTGACCTAAACGAAACTTTATCTGTAGCTTCTCCCTTAAAATCTCCGCCTGTCACTAGTACACCAATTGTGCGTTCCGGCAGAAATTCTTTGTCACCGGTTAACCAAGATCCAAGCAGGCCTAACATAGCAACTAGTCCTATAAGCTCTTGCAAACAACCAAGTCCGGTTCATGTTGAACCTGAAAGAAGGTATCCTTTGAGAGATAGAATTAAAAAGAAAATTTTGGATATGTAACCTTGTGTTTTCAGGGAAGAATGAGTTCATAATATATAGATCATGAGTTATTGAGTTTTTATTGTTATGAAAGATATGTTTTATTTTCAGTTAAAGTAAATTCAAGTAAATTGTTTATTGCCTTATTTCAATTTTATGTTTAGCCTATATTATATACAAGATGTATTAAATTTTGTACTTTAGATTAAAAGAGAAGATTTGTTGATTTTTGTTGTACCACTTGTAATAATTTCCTTTGCTCTACGTTTGTTAAAAATTATAAAATTTGATGGTTGTTAAATTCATGTTAGTTAAAAATTATTGTAACTTTTGGAGAATTACAGTAGCCTAAGAATTTTAACAGTGTTCTGTTCTATTGTTTTTGTTAGATCATGTAAACTTGATTCTTATTTTATATTATTATGTGTAGGTCAAATTCTTTTCATTTTGTTTTACTGCTTTATCTTTGAAGGGGAGGATGATGTAATATATGTGCCTTATAATTTGTTATAACTTGTATACTCTATGGGCTGTGCTCCCTACCTCAATTCGTAAGAATAAAGCTCTCTATGTTCAACCATCAAAATGAAAGCATCTCTTATTTCAGAGCCTTGTCTAATGTCAGTATAAGTTACATATTATAGTAAAGATGGTTTTAAGTGTCAATAATTGTTAGTGTTACTATAAAAGAAATAGTATACATTACAGATTGTGGCGACGAGGATAAAGTTTTATAGTAAAAAGAGTACTAAATTTTATCTTCAAGTTTTTCAGGTATGTTTCACGACTAGGCCTAGCTTCTATTCCAGTCAAGAAGATAAACGTACTATTATAAATTAAAAGTGACAGACTATTTTCGATTCATTTTAAATTTTAGTAACTTAATCTTTCAAGTTGATATTTTTTTCTGAAAGTTTTAAGCCTAAAAACTTGAAATATAGGCCTACAGGAACTTTCAACTTTCATGTTTGAACAAACTTTCATGTCTGAACAGACTTTCATGTTAGAACAAACTTTCATGTTCATCGATTTGCATGTTAGGCAGAACATTGCAATGGTGTTTTAGTGATGTCACTTGTAGGTAATATATCTGAATTTGATGATTCTTGTGAAGAATGGGACTTATATGTACAAAGACTGGAACAATATTTTACTATGATCAAAAAAACCTGTCAATATTTATTTGCATATTATCGTTTCTATAATATTATTATATTTGTATTATTAATTACAAAAACATTACTAAAAAGTGTTCATTCATATATAATTATTATTATAAAAAAACTTTAAACTATGTATTTATATTATGATAAAAAAAACCTGTCAATATTTATTTGCATATTATCGTTTCTATAATATTATTATATTTGTATTATTAATTACAAAAACATTACTAAAAAGTGTTCATTCATATATTATTATTATTATAAAAAACTTTAAAATATGTATTTATATTATGATAAAAAAACCTGTGAATATTTATTTGCATATTATCCTTCCTATAATATTATTATATATGTATTATTAATAACAAAAACATTATTAAAAAGTGTTCATTCATATATAATTATTATTATAAAAATATTATAAAATATGTATTTATATTATGATCAAAAACATTTATATATATTTATTTGTATATTATCCTTCCTATAATATTATTATATATGTATTATTAATAACAAAAACATTATTCAAAAGTGTTCATTCATATATAATTATTATTATAAAAATATTATAAAATATGTATTTATATTATGATCAAAAACATTTATATATATTTATTTGTATATTATCCTTCCTATAATATTATTATATATGTATTATTAATAACAAAAACATCATTAAAAAGTGTTCATTCATATATAATTATTTTTATATAAAAATTATAAAATATGTATTTATATTATGATAAAAAAAACCTGTCAATATTTAATTGCATATTATCCTTACTAGAATATTAATATATATGTATTATTGTTATTAAAAACATTATTAAAAAGTGTTCATTCATATATAATTATAATTATAAAAATATTATAAAATATGTATTTATATTATGATCAAAAACATTTTTATATATTTATTTGTATATTATCCTTCCTATAATATTACCACAAATACACAATAAGGGTTCTCACTCAAATAATATTCAATGATAAGGCTCAATTAATTAGCAAAATTAAAATTACTAACTAATATCTATGTACACAACCACTAAATAAATTAGGGTTCACAACGCACCACGCTGTAACAGAAAACAGGTTAGGCCTACCCAACCGACTATAAAATCACAGCAGGTCTGCCTAAAACTCTGCTCAACAGTTCAGGTCCGCAGCCAATCTGCACAAGTCCGCAGCAAATCTGCACAAATAAAATTATTTTGTTCGGGCGCCGTTAATACGTCAGCAACTCAGCACCACTGCCAACCATAGTCCCTGTTCGCAGGCGCCATCTTGCGACGAAATTTTCTGCACTGGAAAAAAATATATTAATTAAAAGTGCAGCAGTCGCAACCGTTTGCCGGGGATAGCTCAGCCTACAATGGCTGGGTAAAGTTCCAGGGTCTGCGATAAGGTCGGGGAAACCACTAGGCCAATAGCCGGGTCTAACCGGTATAGGACTGGCTCATACACGGGCACTGTGAACAAGTAAAAAACAAGTCACAAAACAAACGTGCAATAATCACTACCAGGCCTACGCCGATTCTCCACACTCCTAGGGGGTCGTTGCTGACTACGCAACTCGGGCTTCGTCCTAACTATCCAATAGTTAAGCCCAGAGTGCCTAAAACACAGTGAGTTACACGACGACTTGCCAATAAAAACCACAACGCGAGCTATCAAAAGGCGGGGTCTACTAGGCCACTATAATCCAATACACAACTCTAATGCCCAAGCTAAGAATCAATCAGTTCACTCAATAATCGTACCACATAATAATATACAAGTACACTATAGGTAGAGTGACTACGCCACGAATAGCTGGTCTCAATAAATACCAAGCCAGACAGGCAAAACTAAATGGCAATTGCACTATTAAAATATTGAGCTACTTAGTAGCAGATAAATAACTGTTAAATACGTTCCAAACACTAGATAAATATATTATCTGATAGCCGGTACTCCGCTATCCAAGCTACCGAGATAACGTGTTGGACTACCAAACAAGCTGTTCAGGTTAAATTAAAATAATCAAATGAATAAACAATAACAACCCTACTACTGCTACTGCCAACTTTATGTTACTTAGCTGGGCTTCTGTTAATAGGCTAATAAAACTAGCTACTAGCCTACTGGCCTCGTGCTTCCAACTACGCACGCTAAATCGTGCAGCCTAGGTTTGTCGGGCCTCAGAGTTATTAGTAATATAACTAACTCTAGGTACAACGCAAAATAATAACTACTACAGCCAATTAAATTATATTATTTCGCTCTAGGGACGAACACATTGAAGCACTCTGCCATAAGCTAAGCACCGCAATTTTTGCACTGAGAAGAACAATGGCTGTGAGCACAGAAGAGGCGGCACTAACAGCATACTATGCCCTTCTTGAGAGTATTCTCTGTTATGGCATTGTGGTGTGGGGTGGATCGTCGGCACAGAACCTTAACAGAGTTCTCATCATGCAAAAGAGGGCTGTTCGAACCCTGACTGGCATTGAGACAACAGATAGTTGCAGACCACACACAAAAAAAGAAGATGACGATTCCCTAGTCTCTACGACTACGGAGAAGAGGACCAAGGTAAAAGGTAAAAGGTAAAAGACCACAGTTTAGGAGGTTAAAAATCCTGACCGTAGTCAACCTCTTCATACTACGGACTCTTACCATTGTCGACTCTTCCAGGACCTGTCGTCATCAGGAGGTGCACTCATACAACACAAGACGAAGAAATGATTACAACCTTCCTGCTCACAACACAAGGCTCTATGAAGAGAAACCCTCATACATGCGTGCCAAGTTTTTTAACGTCCTTCCCGTCCACTTGAAGTCTCTTCAACCCAGAAAACTGAAGAAAGAACTAAAGTGCTGGCTGTTACATAGACCATTTTATAGTCTGAATGAGTATTTGTCTTGGCAAGAACTTGAATAAATCATCACTGCAAGAACTCTGATAAGCTATTTTTTATTCTTAAAAAATAACAATTTGTTTTGACTTTTATATAGCAATTGCACAATTCTGTATTGACGCCCTTTCAATCTTAAAGATTGTAAATAAAGTATTCTTGTATCTTGTATCTTGTATCTTGTATCTCTAGCACCTGCCCAGAACCGTCAGGAATACACTTTAATATTATTCCTGACTAATATAAATCCTAACTACCGTCAGGCTTCTAACTCTCGCAATAAAACCAGATATTAATATTATCAAACTAATAATATCAAGTCGTCCACTCACCACAAGTGGGTCAGTACCCAACTTACACCAACACTCGGCGCGATCACACCACCAGCATACTCCGACACCACTGTCACGTACACCACTGGACGTCTCACTAGACACACGCTCGCTCTTCACTGCACGGGATCCACGACTCGAATGTCTCTGTCCTAGGCTATCCTGAAGATCTAGGATATCCCAGGCTTATCGGCACTGATAAGCAGGGTCAAAGGGCGCTCGCTAGCCTCGCTGCCGCCGCTCACTCACCTCATCAATCGGTGCGCGGCCAAATAGCAAATAATTACCCCCCTAGGAAAAATAACTCGTTACACTTTTAGCGGCAGTAGTGTTACAGTTGACTTTGATTTTAGCGTATTGTGGTGTAATTCTCTTCTTGATGCATTCTTTGTTTGAAGTAAATATCTGCAATCTTCATGGAAATCTTGATTCTTGTATCCCTATATTTTGCTGCTAATTTTGCTTGACTAGCTTCACTAAATAACTTCTTGATCAGCATTGTACGTGTTATTAAATTTACGGAAAGTAAATAAAAGAAACGTCTTATAACACTTAAAACATATATTTACGCTTATACTGTTACTCACAAGACGGTAAATATACAAAAAAGGTGGTAAGTAGTGATCGATTTCGATTGGACACTCCAATCATCATCAGACCCAATAGGCGAATGACAAGAATCTTGAATGGCGTCCCTACTTATACCCTATTGGCTACCGGAAGCACCGGCCAATACATTTTTATAAGTGCAACTGGAATCAAAATGTATTTGTTCATTAATCAACTTATTTCTATCTTTACATTTTTCCTTATAAATATACAATTCTTCCCAAGCATTCATTACATATCCTTTCTTACAATTCTTTAAAATATCTAGACTATCCTCCATTTTTCCTAGTGAGTGCCTATTTTGTAACAGGTGTTGTGCGACATTTGATCTTTCCGGTTTGTTGTTCCTCCATGCAGATATGTGGTTTTTGAAGCGATAACGAAGTTCACAGTCTGTCCAATGTAGAAGCTATCACAATCGTCACAATTGATTTTATATATGCCTGAAGTGTCGAATTTGTTACAATCTTCTATTTTTGGATGCAGTATTTTACTCATGGTGTTCTGAGTCCTGTAGGCTATTGAAACTCCGTATTTCTTGAATCTGTTAGCAGTCCTTTGTGTTGTAGTCCCCGTGTAGCTAAATGTGATATATCTAGTGTTTTCCTCTTTTATCTCTTCTAATGTTGTTCTGCTGTGTAGTGTATTCTGTCTATCGATTTTCCCCCCCGCCTTCCTTGCGATGTCCTCTTTCGTCTTGGTCCGAAATCCATTCACTTGAGCGATCTTCTTAATGGTGTCCAGTTCTTTTTTCCTATTGGTTTGGCTAAGTGGGATCTTATAGGCTTGGTACAGCATAGATCTAAAGGCTGCGGTCTTGTGGATTGTCGGATGGATAGACTTGTTGTTGATTGTAGTGTCCGTTTGCGTAGGTTTCCTGTAGATGTCAAACTCTATCTTGCTGTCTTTTCTCTCTAATGTGAGGTCCAGGAATTTGATCTTTTTGTTTTCTTCAAACTCGTTAGTAAAGGTGAGGTTCGGGTGGTGGTTGTTTAGTGTCTGCATCATCGTTTCGTGCTCCTGCTCCTGGGCTTGTCTGAAGATAACAATAATGTCGTCTACATATCTAACATACAGTTTTACATCATGATTTTTTCTTAAATTCGTTAACATTTCTTTTTC